AGTGTCTAGAGTTCCCGACTTACCCTATCCCAGAGAGTTATCTGATTTTCTTCTCAAGAGTATTTTTCATATCAAGCCGCATCACCTTGGAATCCTACTAATATTAGCTTTCGTTTCGTATATGAATGATTCTCCCACGCTACGAGTACATATTATGAGAATGATAGCATAGTAAAGTAACTAATCACAGTATGAAGCGCAATGCGTCCCCTGGAGCCAGTCTGTAGGAAGACCTCTAGCCTAAGCCTACGGAGTAACGAACGTTGGAGAAAATAAAAACTGCTTACACATCTCGGTGTCCCGTTTCTCCTCTAAAGCTCAATCATAAACTGAGGGTTCTCACAAACGTACCATTTGGCACCTCTACATTCAATTAAAGGCACCAGTTTACCGCGAGTTCTGACTTGAACATTTTCTTGAGCAGTTGTCTAGGCAGATTTTCGTAACCAGACAGAGAAATAGTTATATTGCCAAGCTACTAGCACAACCGGTCTTGCAGTCACTTTTCACCCAGTCGATAGAATCATCCATAAGATCAATATTAATTTTTTAGTCAGCGACTGTTGGCACTACATGCAAACGGGCAGCGAATTCGTGAAACTTCGTGGACCTACGAGGCACTTTCGACGGTTTTTCAGGTCAGATATATTTCATAAGATAAATTATCTCAAGTCCGGTCCAAAATTTGAGAAATACTTGAGTTTATCTTAATGTTCCTCTCATCCAAAAACGTTTTCTGTAACAGCTCGATTGCAGCCTTGACGCCGATCTTTCACATATTCGATGGACTCCCACCAACAAAAAGCCCCACAAAGCGCGGAGTAAGTCTACGATTTATTCATAATATTCTAAATACATTTTAAACGCTACTACTATGCTACCGAAGTGTTGCCCTGCTCAACGAAAAATTAAATTAAACAGGATAAGAATAAACAAATAAGTCTGGGTAATTCTTGCCAAGTGCCTCTTGACTATCCTATTGATTTGAGGCAACGAAGATTCGAAATTTAGTGATCAATTCAGTTGCTCAATTGTGGGTAGCTTTCCTCCCTATCGCTTTGGTTAAGAATTTCAAAAGCGACCCTGAGCCCAAAATAAGTACCATTCAGTGACTGTCTTTTCAGTAGCAATTGAAAACATTCGAGAAATTCGAATCGGGAAAAATACGGAACAACTACGGCATAGCGAAGCAAACTTAGGCGAACTTCAGGTATTTTTTGCTTTTTCTCCAGAAAATCTTGGTTTGGGATACATCACCATTAAAAGGGCACAATATCACCCATAATTACTACAAAAAAATTGTATTTTTGTGTATAGGAAGAATGTCTGTTCTCCGTTATCTACGGCGACGACTACGAGACCCTGGACCTTGTGGCAAGTTGTGCCGACGACGCGAACATATGGGTCACAGGCCTTATGGCCCTCACCTCTACCAAATGTAAGCGTTTTATCCAATCATTGTATATACTTTCTTTGTTATTCTTTCACTAAAATCTTTTGATTTGCTCAGATAATTGCCAGTTTTCTAGAATTTTGAGAGTTTCAATTCCCTTGGGCTAGTTGGGGTTTGATTTAAAGCATGCACCGTAGCGTACGAACTGTACTCAGTGGGGGGATGCTCTGTGCGTTATTTGTTAGAAATCCTCCAATTGTTGTGCAGAGCTGACGTATGGGTAGGCCCATGAACTGGCATAGGATTAAACGCGACAGTAGTCTCTGTATGACAGAACCTTCGGTAGGAGCGAGAGGAAGTTCAGGTCTGAAATGTTCAATGAACCATTGACCATGAATCCTGAAATTCTAGCTCAAAGGAGCCAAAGGGAATGATAAGAATCATCGGTTCTGGGAAGGTGCGAAAGGGCTTGGAACAAAGAAAACGCGGAGGTGACGCAGTACCATGTAGAGCCACTGACCTAGGCACAGTCCGGGTGCCAAACCCGGCTTGGTTTCCCTCAGGAGAATTGGGCATTTCATTCCCTCCAGAATCATGTATTTGACAACAAATTTGTTTGGAGGGATAAAAACAAACACGGGGTATCTGCTCGCCCGCAAGTCATTGTATTATATTCCCAAGCACCCAGACGACGCTGATTTCAAATGGTAGTAGAATGCGTGGCCTTTTCCAGAATAGAACAAATCAAGCTGGGTGCCTAGTCCTATTCTTGCTGGTCTGATTTATCATTTTTTAGACGACTGCAAGCCGACAACTATCGCATGGGCTCACGATTACGGGAACGGTAAGTAGAGAACCGTGACCTTGGAGCCCTTTTCGTTCCAATTCTCAGATGGATACCTGTCATCTTCTGAGTGAAGTTCACGATTGAGAGGGTTAGGCAGCGTTGTCGATGGAGGAAGATCGCGATGGCCAAAGGTTACATCGATCAGAATTACTGCCGTTCAACTGATCCGGCAGACAAACCCCACTCTGTCATTGTCTAGAATCAAGAACAAAGTCAAGGTACGGTTCTCACATTTTTGCATAAAAACTCCTACAGCTGACGATGAGTCCACTATTATTTAAATGACGTGGTTCGAAACCCGAAAAGAGAACAAATTTGTGATTCCCTCTACATCGTTTCGTACCATAGTATCCTAGGAAATCCTAGCAAAAGCTGTCACACTAACTGTAGTCCGCAGGTCACTTCACAGACCAAATACGCATTCAAATAACTTCACGAGCTCCAACAATATTCGAATGCAGGGCACACTCCGAAAAATTGCCCCAGTGTTCTTTGATCCCGGAAACATTTGTTGTTACCAGTCAAGGTCTTCCACTAGCTAGCACAGGATTTTATTGGATTCACAGGAGGTACGAATTTCAGCTAATCCTCCCAATCTCATCCAGGAAGATGAGTGTTTGGTCTCTCATTTATCTGCGAAGACCATTCTCAAATTTCCCGAATAACCAGTTCAAAAAGTGAAGAGGCACACTTCCAGGGACGATTTTCGTTCCCGCATGATATCACAAGGATGGAACTCACAGGTGCAACGTTTCAAATCGATGGCCTGGACTCGGTCTCGCCTTTCTGGTGCTCACCCACTGCATTATAGGACCCCACACCACTTTCTCTGCTTCGAATCGTGGTAGTGTAGAGGAGAAACGCGGTTTCCAGAAAGCTTTTTTTCGGGATTCAAAACTTGTGCAAAGCCGAATGTTAGGCTGATAAGCTAGCACTATTGTAATACCATCACTTCGTGGAATGCGTCATGAATACAGGGTGCGCCAAAATTACGGCGACAACGGATGCGCACACAATTTGAACCACTATTCAAAGATGCTGTTTACTGCTGCGCTCATTTTGGTTTGTTGTGTTGACCTGTTCATAATTATCTTATTTGACCACCAATATGTATGATTGTTACGATGGCTGAGTGATTCTGCCGCCATTTCTAGATCACTGAACTTCAACTTTGAGAGTTTCCGGCACGCAAGAATTATCAGCGTTTTGGTTTTTATCCTGGGTACCAATCATGGATCCACTAAACGCTCCAAGGAGTAAGGAACCGAATGCACTCATTCTGGATGGGAAGGCCGTGTTTCCGAGACGGCCACGAGCAATGTCAGCATGGTGCGCAACAGAATTTGGTGGCACTTCGCGCACTCGTTCCGCCGAATGTCACGAGAGATGGACATTAAGGAGATTACTTGAGAATTCCCAAGCAAATTGCCATCTAAGATTTGAAAAACATTGTTGGATCTTTCATAAGGAAGGGATTTCCATAAGGCAAGGGTGGTGCAGAACTGGTGCAGAGCCAATTTTGTCGAATTCATCACTTTCAACGAGTAGGTCAGCATTTCAGATTCAATATAAATGGGTTACACTGTGGAATTGATTCTGTAAGCTGAAGCTTGCATGGAACTTCACATTTTTGGGATTATTTTGAAGAATTGCTTCAGAATACGTAGGACGGGTTCCACGCACCACCTTGCGTGCCACCGTCGATGGTTCCTCACTGCTTCTCAAGGCCCGTATAAGTGCCAACGAAGGAATTTCTGAGATTTGGCAGATGTTTACGATTCATTATTGAACAGTGAACGTTACTGCATTTTTGGCTTCTTGGAATTGTGGCGTGTTCATTCTAGGCGACTCGAAATCGCTGTCTCCGTAATTTTGGCGCACCCTGTATTGTTTCTGCATGACCCCTGAAAACCCTCATGAAACTCCAACTACCTCAGAAAGAGCTAATATTGGTAAAATTCTTCGCGCTCAAATGAATGGGTTCATCTGTAATTGTGCCTCTTCGTGCGTTGAGCATACTATGCATAGCCGAATGGTGAAATGCGGTTATAAATCGGCGAATATTTCATCTTTCTATTCTTTTTTTATTATGAAAATGCTCGAAAAAGATATGATTCCCACTTTGCTGACTTGCTAGCTCGCTTTAGTTCCACAAAGCTGAACGGCTAGGCAGACTAAGCTTTGAATTTCCAATTTGTATTTCAATTTTTCCTATTGTTTCCTATTTTGACTGGGGACCCTAAGTTCTTCGCACTGTCTCAGAAACCTCCAACAAGTGAGCCAGCTAAAAAAGGAAGCCTTATAGAAGAATTTCAGGAAGCTGGAAGTGCGCTCGGAGGAATAGAGAGAGGACGAATTCACAAAGAAGAATTCGTCGAGTTGTACAAGGTTGGTTGAACTCAGTTTTTTCACAGCCATGTTGGCAGCAGTCGTTGTAAACGAAGTTTGGATATAAAGATACTCAAACCACGATAATGCGAGAGAGAAAAGAGATCAAGGGATAGATATCAAAAAAGGGTATGACTGTGAATGAACAGACGAATGTCCGAATCTTTATCGAAGATGGTCACTATAAGTTAAGCTCGTGTCCTTGTATTCAAGTCATAGAGATTGCAAGAATTATTTATTTGTTTGTTTATTGC